AGTACAGGGTTGCATTCAACTTCGGCTTTTCTGGAGGAAGACACTTTTATCAGCCATAACCATCAAGACTTGCTTATCCCTGTGAAGAGTAAAATTGCATTTGGCGTGGTTTTAGCACATTGCATTCACCAGCTGCAAATGGGGCCCTGAAGCTTGAGATATTAAAAAGAACAAACTGTACAATGCTTCATTTCTCTGAGCGATGGATCCCAGCAGTTTAGTCACATAAATAGAATTTCACCTTCATCCCTTCCACCACACTGGCATAGCAGTAAAGCTTTTTTCCTCCTTATGCAGTGAGACTGAGAGAAAACACTGCCAAGTGGAGTTAGGATGTTGAAAGCATTAAAAAACCAGAAAATTTGAATCCTGTGCCTTTTCCTTTTCGTATATGCTTCATCACCCTGTTTAAAAAAAAACAAAAAAAACCCCCAAAAGTCACCCCCTAAAAAATCCCAACCCAGTAGTTACAGAAATGGATAGCATTGATACACTTGAGTAGCATTTCTCTTCTTAGACTACCTAGTTATTCCCTATAAATTTGATTTAATTCCTGTATTTATATAAATCGCAGTTCACCATCACATGATATCCAGTCCAAGTATTCTTGGTAACACATTTTCCAGACTGTTCTGTTGGCCAAGTAAGGTAACCCTTGAGGAGCTCCTGCTGGGGGCAAGTAGCCTTTCATCAGCCAAGGTCTATATGGAAGGGACATAGAACTGGAGTTTGTAAACGTAACCATTGTCTCCATAGCATGTACACCAAATGGAAAGTTGGATTCACCTTAGATTTAAGTCTTCCATGAGTGCTGAATTTGTTTCATAATTTCTTTCTGTGTTTAATCAATGTTCCCTGAAAGCACTGCTTAGTTTTAAGATGGAGCCATTTAAATATTTGTTATATATAATATTTTTATGTTTGTTGTTGACAATTTCTGTGTTTGCATTACGCACAGTGTTACACTCGTGTGTTTTATTTCAGGTACATATATTGCGATGAAATCGATTTGGCTGCAGACACTGTACTGGCCACTCTTTATGCTGCCAAGAAGTATATCGTCCCTCATCTTGCCCGCGCCTGCGTCAACTTCCTAGAGACAAGTCTAAGTGCAAAGAATGCCTGTGTGCTGCTTTCCCAGAGCTGCTTATTCGAGGAACCTGACCTGACCCAGCGCTGTTGGGAAGTGATTGATGCCCAAGCTGAGCTCGCTTTGAAGTCTGAGGGGTTCTGTGACATTGATTTTCAGACACTTGAAAGCATTCTCCGAAGGGAGACTCTGAATGCCAAAGAAATTGTTGTTTTCGAAGCAGCTCTGAACTGGGCTGAAGTGGAGTGCCAGCGACAAGAGCTAACAGCTACCATAGAGAACAAGCGCAAAGTCCTCGGGAAGGCTCTGTACTTGATCCGCATCCCTACCATGGCGCTCGACGACTTCGCGAATGGTGCTGCTCAGTCTGGGATCCTGACTCTCAATGAAACCAATGACATCTTCCTCTGGTACACAGCTGCCAAGAAGCCAGAGTTACAGTTTGTCAGCAAGCCGCGGAAAGGCCTCGTTCCGCAGCGATGCCACCGCTTCCAGTCCTGCGCTTACCGCAGCAACCAGTGGCGCTACAGGGGCCGCTGTGACAGCATCCAGTTTGCTGTTGATAAGAGAGTGTTTATTGCTGGCTTTGGGCTGTATGGCTCCAGCTGTGGATCGGCAGAATACAGTGCCAAGATTGAACTTAAACGACAAGGAGTTATCCTAGGCCAGAACTTGAGTAAATACTTCTCGGATGGTTCTAGTAACACTTTTCCCGTGTGGTTTGAGTATCCAGTGCAGATCGAGCCTGACACCTTTTACACAGCTAGTGTGATTCTGGACGGTAACGAACTCAGTTATTTTGGACAAGAAGGAATGACAGAAGTTCAGTGTGGGAAGGTGACTGTTCAGTTTCAGTGCTCTTCGGACAGTACAAATGGCACAGGGGTACAGGGAGGGCAAATTCCCGAACTCATATTTTATGCTTGAATTGAGAGTGTGTGGTGACGAAGCATTTTGCCATGAAGAACCTGTCTGGTTCAGGCCTACTGACACTTAGCTTTTTATCTGCAGATATGTGATCAGTACAGGGAATATGTAATTAAATGCTGTGGGCAAGTTCCTGGCTTGCTATACTTGTAGCATTGTTGGTGATAAAGTTCAAGTGTAATATTTTAACTGGAAGCTCTTAGAAAAACAGATGAGTTTTAAAGGCTTTGTAAGAGGGGTGTCTGTTTGCTGGTGATGCTGACACTTTCTTCGTTGCACCTGTGAATCACCAGAGGATATCCCTCTCTTGTATCTCACTAAACTCTGTCTTCATTGATCCTTTTTCTTTTTTTCCATTTTCTGCTTTCTGCTTGTAATTATTTGGGGAGGTAGGGATAGAAAATCAAGGGCCTTGTTTTATAGCTTTCTCTGCTGTCTGCTCTGTAGACTTTAGAGATTCCAATAAACCAAGCTGCATCTGATTATTGAAGCTGGAAGAAGTCCTTCAGTTGTAAGCAGAAAAACACAGGTTTAAACCTTCATCCTGTGAGATTCTCCTGCAGCCAGCTGTTTGGAATGGCTACAGGGGAAGATGGAGAGAAAGAATTGTCTTTCAGGAAGCTACACAGCATGCTGACCACGTCCACAATGCATGGACATGTTTATAGTGAGGGGAGGGATTGTGGGCTTGGCAAGTTACCCTTGGAGTTCATTTTCTAGGAATCCCACCTCAAAGAACTTGCATGTCTCCCAGTTGAATATGCAGCTCTTGAAACTCTACTCCCATGACCTAGATTTTGCTACATTGGAGTTGACTTGCTCTTTAAATGGCATTTTGTGAGAATTAATATCAATCATCTGATTCAGGATATTGTTTTGTTTGTTTTGGGTGGGGGTTTTTTCTTCTTTCTAAACATGGTAGAGGCAGATTATAGATGAACAAAAGAATGTATCGATCCTGACTTGTACTTTTTTTCTGTAATATGAGATTTTTTCTTTTTATTATCACTTGAGATTTAGACGAAGACAGAATATTCCCAACTGGGGTCATATTACAATTAGTGTATATCATCTGATAACAGTGAGGAGGAGGAAGTCTTCTTTAATGTGTTAATGTTGGATCTCTTGCAACTGCTTATGGATACACATCAGTCAGAGGATTATGTGGTACAGAACCTTTTCCTTGCTGAATTTTTCCCCCTAACTTCCTGTTACATGTTGGTATCGTTTTTTGGGAAAGTATTAGGGATACTCCTTGTACCAGGGAAGGAAACCAGTATTAATAAGAACTACAGGTACTGTTTAAACATAAGAAAATCCTTTACTGTTGCATTGGGACAGTTGCTCCTCAGAGGCACACCAACTATTGTAAAGCATCTCATTCTTACTTCTCTCTGAAGTGGGTTCTGTTTGTTGCATATGTTTCAACACAATGAGAGGACCAAATGATTCTTCAGACAGGCTGAAGATTAATGTTATAGTATATTAACACATTAATGTAGCATAACCTTAAATTCACTTGTCAGTTCTGTAATAAAAATGTTTTTCTCATATGATTTCTTACCAGTTTAATACTATTACTCTAAGTGTTGCTTGACGGTTGAAATCCTGGCCCCCGGTCATTGTAAAGTGCCAATACATCTTTTCAGTGTCCGAAATACCATCTGAAGTAAGGGAAACTGGAGCGTAGACATCAAACACTTTATGGCCAAAGCCCAGATCTTCTCTCTAGGTAATAAAAGGAGAGCCTGTTAAAATACTACCCTGCAAGATTTATGCCTTTCACCCATCTTAGCATTTAATGTTTTATATACATACATACACATGTGTGTGTGTGTGTAGGCAGTATTCTTTCTGAAATGTAAATACCTTCAAAATATATAAAAAAATGTTTTGGTTTTTTGTAACAGATGTATATAATCCAGGCTGTTAGTGAAATCTAAACAGAATGCTCCATGGAAAACTCCCAGAGAGATTTAAAAAACCTCCAGTTATTTATATTTAGATCTGCAGCCGAAAATAGACAAGAGTATAAATGGTATGGAGTAAAGGAAGAGATCACAAAAAGGAGGCTAAGATTGTGATGAGGCAATGGTCATCTACTTTTAGACAACATCTGAGCAGCAGTTCAATTTATTTAGATACATTTGAAAGCAGAGAAGGATGCTAATCAGCTGATTAAGTTTTCTTAGAGCAAGCGGCTGGTGCAGATGTAATTGCTCTGAGTGATGATCAGATTGACAAGTTGCTTGCGGTAGCAAGCTGCATTCTGAGTTGTTAGGGGAAAAAAATCAGGTGCCTCAGCTGGTGGGGCAAGTCAGAGAGTACTGCATTGGTATAACTAGGCTTGGGTTCTCACTTTTAATTTATTTTTTTTGTTTTTACTTACCTGCAAATAAAGGTGAAATATCTGCTGCATTCACTGGCTGGAACAGAAGTTAGGAGATCAGAATACTGTGTAGCTGTAATACGTATAAAATGAGCTGTTATTTAATTATTACTCTTACTTGCTTTTTTATGAAATCCTTTTGACGAAGTAGGACGAAAGCAACCTCCAGCTTAATTCCTCTGAGTCCATTCCAGGTTTTAGGAGCTGGTGCGTGTAAAGGTTTCCAGTATGGATGAACAAACCCTACACCACCTTTGGATGCTCACAGTGTGACTTGATTCTGAGCACTGCTTGATGCTAACAAGTACTGGTATAGAAGATAGCCAGTACCAGTCACCTTGAGACATCAGTGCACTTCAATAGGTGTCTGAATGTGGATTTGGTTGGTTTAGCAGTGGCATCCAAGCTTGAATACATTGACTGACATTTTGCAAGCATCAGCCACATCAACCTGGAATGTAAATGTAATGTCAATAGAGATCACCTCGTAGATTCTGTCTTAAACTGTACCTGGCCACCTTTGCTACTTGTATGTTTGATTTTCCTGGTGAGGGGAATCTATGATAAGAGAGTATAATGTAAGATACTTTCTGCATATCTAAAATAGTGTTTAAGTAAACATTTTCATTTCTGCATACTTTTTGCACTGAACTGTTTTGAGTTTACTTTTGTTGTCGGGTTTTTTTTTCTGTGATAAACTCAACTCACTTCAGGTCCCAGCACCCCTTTGTGCTGAAGCAGTGTTTGACCTTAGCAGGCTTACAGCATTATTTATAAAGGACAGATATATATATATATATAAATATATGAAGTACCTCATGTTGAATGTTATTGTACTGTATCTTCAATGTCACAGTGCAGATCTTGTTGGACTCATGAATGTGTGTAATCGCATTACAGATATAAATAAAAATGATTCTTAAATGGTTGTTTCCTGCAGTATCTTTGAAGCATGATCTGTGAAAGCCCTTGCTTAGTTACCTCTGTTAGTGATTTCTGTTGTTAGACAGTTGTGCAGGGATATTTGTTGAGCTTCTGTATTCAGACATCTTTTGATCCCCAAAGAAGCAAAAGTCTAAGGAAAAACCAAGGAAGAACAATGAAAATGTTAATCAGTTACATTGTAAAAAGGTTGATGATTAAGCTAATGAGCTAGAGTGAATGAATTCATTTATGTGCTTTATGAAAGACCTTGTCTACTAGCATTAATATTTTAATGTTCTATTAATATTATTAAGTGTGTGGAGATGAAGGGGGAAGGTCTCGTGTTTATTCTAAAAGACAGCTGGCACAGGAAAGGCCATGCTTTTCAGTCTCTGATATATCAGAAAGGACATGGTTAGTGCCAAGAGGCTGTTCTCTGCTGAAAAGTTAATTATATAATATTATTCTGAATTCTGACTGTTTTCTTACTTAACTATTTTCTTCCAGGAGATTTGAGACTTCATTTTAAATAGTGTCATGGTCAGTGATGCTGAAGCCCCACTGCCATGATGAACATCTCCAAGACCTTTCAGATATTATTAGCTAAAGATAAGAGAATACTCCACAGTCTGATAGACATGGAAATTTAATTGAGGAAGTCTATCCCAGTACCAACCAGTACCTTCAGAGTTCATCCAAAATTCTGATTAAAGCCTGTTTACAGGCATCAAACTTGTCACTATTGGTAAGTGTTTTTCTAGGGTTCTTACTGCAGTATTTGGTACCACATGGCTACGTTCTTGATCCCAGATCTCTTGTGTGTCCAGTGCTTCTCATTTGGAACTGGTTTGAAGCAGGAACTGTCCTATGCCTTGTACTGTACTAACGACACCAGCTCTTAAATGTGTGGTAAGTACCAGCAAAAAAAAAGGAGTTTGAAGTAGAATAAAAAAGTGAGAGGATGTTTCTGGGTTGGGAAGGAATTAGGCTCAAGAACAGAATTCAGTTTTATGTCTTGCAGGTAATATCCTGCCTGGTAGAGAAGAACTCCTTGTTCCCACTTAGTCAGAAGCTCCTCAGGAGCTGACATCTGCTGCGTGTCTAAAGCAGGCTCCTTACAAACGTTCAGCTCTTAGGTTTTCCTGGCCTCTCATAAGCAAAACTAGGTATCCTACAGCCCAGGACAAGCCTGTACCTCCTGAAAGATACTGAGAATTGTTGTAAACAGGAGAGCCTTTTTTTTGGACCTTCCAGGCCCAGCACTCAGTGAAAGCTGAGGTACTGGCACAAGGGTGACTTCAGCCCATCAGCAGTATTTGGCCAGTGTGAAAAGCAGAAGCTTTGAAAGCCAGCCTATTCTACCATTCTTGCAAGGAATCAGTGGGAGCAGGAATACCTGCTGATTTCCCGAAGGCAATGAAAGGAGCTGCTTTCTCAGATGGCAGCATGACCATGTTCAAAACAAAATTAAGAAAAGGCTTTTTGGCATGCTCCTCCATTTCTAGAAGCCTGAATTTATTTTCTCCCCAAGACTTCCTCATAAAGTGAGGCCCTGGCCCAATTGAAATCAGTAGGAGTTGCCCTAGTGACCTCAATAAACCCAGGATTTCATTTGCAGCGTTCATTTTGTGTGATTATTCCCAAAACACAACATAAAACTGCCCAAGAAAGGTAAATTAATTTTGAA